TAAGTGTGACTCTCCTCAGTCCTTTTCTGCTTCTGCACATCCTGCCACGAAGGACTAGTAAACATTCCTTTCACCCAATATATAAAGGAGAAAGACTTTGTGCATGCTGTTCCCTCTGCCTCTTCTTTTTTGGCTCAGTCTGAGTGTTACACCTGGTAAGTCCATAGACAAAAGATGAAATGGGCTTGGCTCTGGGATGCCCTGACATGTTTTTACATACCTTTAGAATAGAGCTTATCACATATGTCTTAGTGGTTGAAATATGTCTTCTCCACAATACTGGGAGTTTTTCAAAGACATAGCCTGTGTCCCATGAATCACTGTATTGTAATCATTCAGCAGAGCCTGTAGCACACAGTAGGCAAGGTAAGCATTTTGATACACAAAGGAAAATTAGCAGTTGCCTTATTACTATCATTAATAAGGCACCACCTGGCCGAGGCGGGCGGATTGCTCGAGGTCAGGAGTTCAAAGCCAGCCTCAGCAAGAGCAAGACCCCGTCTCTACTATAAATAGAAAGAAATTAATTGGCCAACTGATATATATATAAAAAATTAGCCGGGCATGGTGGCACATGCCTGTAGTCCCAGCTACTCGGGAGGCTGAGGCAGGAGGATCGCTTGAGCCCAGGAGTTTGAGGCTGCTGTGAGCTAGGCTGACGCCACGGCACTCACTCTAACCTGGACAACAAAGTAAGACTCTCTCTCAAAAAAAAAAATAAAATAAAATAAGGCACAACCTGAGGGAAGGTTGTTTCTATTTCTGCTTATGGAAAGGGTCCTCCCTGGGAAATTCCATTCTTTGAAGAATACCTTAGTTTCCCTCAAGGATCCCCATGGCCTCTCAATTCAGCAGTTCCCAGACTCAGCCAGATGTCAGAATCACCTGGGGCAATTCAATAATAGATTCCTGGGATCTAGATCTGGAGACTCTGATTCCGTAGGTCTGGGATAGGGTCCAGCAAAACACAGGGGATCTGATGATTAGCAAGGCTGGGGCGAGGGAAGAGGAATCAAGCAACCACAGCTGCCTCTCCCACTGAGAATTACATCCCCACATGCTATCAGAGAGAATTTACTGAAGCACATCACGTTCACTTTCCTATTTAAAACTTTTCATTGATTCCTCACTGACTATAGGATAAAACTCAAATCTCTTTTGCAGTTTCCTCTTGCTAACTCCTCCAGCCTGATCTCTCTCCTCACTCTCCAAATGAGTTGGGTAATTCTCACCTCTGGGTCTCTGTATGCTACTTCCTTTGTTTAGACCCTTTCTCCCATCTTGCCCTCTGGAGAACTTCTACTTAACCTTGAAGACTCAGTTCTGAGAAGCTTTCTCTTACCCATTCTCCCCTAGGATATCATGTTTTGGGCAAACTGAGCATCAGGTATCTAAAATACTCATAGCTACCACTTGTGATAAGCATGTAGGACTTGCTGGACCTTAACATAACCCTGTAAGCCTGGATTCATTGTCATTTTATACATGAGAAAAAAAACCAAGGGGCTGAAATACTTCCAAAGACCACTTACTAGATCTTAATAGAATCTAGGATTTGAACCTTTACTCAGAGGAGGCAGATACTATACCTTCTTCTAAACTGCAATTACTATATACATATTATCTAGACTATGAGCTCCTTGTGGGCAGGGACCACATCTGATTCACTTCTGCATTTACAGCTAGCTCAGGTCCTGGCACAGATCAGGGGTTGGTCAGTGTTTGCAGAATAAATGCCAGGTGAGAGGAAGACTGGGCATCACAGCATGTGTGCAGTGGCTGGCCTAAATGAATGAATGACTGCCAGCCTGGCCCAGCAGTGGGGTCAGATTAAGAATAAAAAGGGGCCAGGCCCAGTGGCTCACATTTGTAATCCTGGCACTCTGGAAGGCAGCGGCAGGAGTATCACTTGAGGTCAGGAATTCGAGACCAGCCTGAGCAAGAGTGAGACCCCCATCTCTACTAAAAATAGAAAAAATTAGCTGGACGTGGTGGTGTGCACCTATAGTCCCAGCTACCTGAGAGGCTGAGGCAGGAGAATCACTTGAGCCCAGGAGTTTGAGGTTGCTGTGAGCTAGGCTGATGCCACAGTACTCTAGCCCAGGTGACAGAGCAAGACTCCATCTCAAAAAAAAAAAGAAAGAAAGAAAGAAAGAATAAAAATGGTGGAAACCTAACATTTCTTTTACTTAATATTATAACTTAGTGTAACAGCCATGCATTGAGCAATAAGGACCATGCACAATATATACCCCCAAAATGAATTAAAACATAGACTTTCTAGGTGCAATAAGTAAAAATTCTAGTTTTTACTAAAAAGTCTGTGCAATAAGTAAAGGTGTTAGGATCATCCATCTGATATCAGATATATTAGCTCTGGGACATTTGAAAGAAATTAAAAATTTTAAACCCTGAGTGGATAACTCTTCATCTTCAAAGGACTTTTGTCATTTTTACCTTACGAGTCTCTGCTGGCTTACAAAGAACCACCAGAGGTGGCAAGGATCCCTACAATGTCATTTTCTCCCACTGGCAATGGAAGTAGTGCATGCTAGGTGGGCAGTGACCCTAAAGGGGGAAGTCCCTGAGGACAGGGACTATCTCACCCATCTGTACACCCCAAATAAAGGCCCTGACACAGAGGCTGTTTTGATGCTTGCTGAGTGAATTAAATATAATGAGATGGTTTTATTAAAGATACTGATTGATCACCTGCTCCAATTCCTTGAAGGAGCTGTGGGAGAACCAAGTCTCTAGAGTCCTTTTAAACTAGACTGGGCATAGTCCCAGGGGATGCTGTAGAGAGATCAGGGGTAGAGGGGAACAAGAGGTAGGGAAGGGTAGGATGAGCTCACTCCCAACCCCCATCAACTGTTGGTTTAACATTCTATTATAGCAAGTCTCCTGGGTCCTTACTGAGTATACACCTGGATTATAAGCTGAGTGGTCCGAGAGAGACCAAAGATACCAGCTAGAACTAGCAGGTGAGAACACTCTGGCTGGATGGCCACCTGGTACAACTTCTGCCAGCAATGACTCCTATTGAGAAGGCTGTAGTAGATGCTACATAGGTTGCTTCACATTCTCTTGTGAAGTTGTTGGTGAGACTCAGATAGGAGGAAAATGTGCCCAGAGTCACAAAGGTAGAAGCAGGCTGAGTTGGAAGTTCAACCCAAGTCTGTAAACATTATTCCCCACTGCTTCCTTCAACTGGTTTTTAAGTTCTTTTTTTGTTTGTTTTTTCTTTGCTAATAAGGCAGTAAGTGTCTTAGTCTTCTTGGAAAGTAAAGAGGATTTGAGTTCTTAGGGAACAGATCAATGTGGTTTAGTGGCCTGAAACAACTGAAACTATAGATCCCAATTAAACTCCTGCATTTAAATGTGCACAGGATGTACAATTGAGCCATGGGGCCTGCAGAGAACCAGAGAGGCCTAAGCAGCGCAAGCTATCTAAAGAGATCAGCTGCCACTCAGAAACTACAGATTTTCGCCTTGTGGAAATGTGTGGGGCCCAGCATCACCAGATCTTTAGAGTTTTGAGAAGGGGCATAGATCCAGATTTATGGGAAACCTTTGGGTTTTAAAATACTGGCTCAAATTAGACAGGGTTTAAAGCAGTGGTGGGAGCCAGAGCGCCTCACCAAAGGCACGCCCATAGGCAGAGGAATAACTGAACCCTACTCTTTCACCAGGTACTTTTCACCAGGGCACAAAAGCCTGCTTCTGACATCCAGATCCCACCTCCTCCCCCAGCTAAAAGTGGGGCACAATCAAAACAGAGTCTGTCGGTTTGTTTCGCCTCTTTGTGGGTGTAGTGAAAAATACAAGTTTTGTTAAAAATCTCACAAAGTATATAAAAGTGTCCTCTTCCCCTTTTTTTTGGCCTGACAACTATATAGCAGGAGTCAGTTGGGCAAATGTTTACTTTTTTTTTCCCACAATGCTTTGTTTTAATTATAGGCAAATGTTTAGTTCCTCTGAGTTTCTGTTTCTTCATCTGAAAAACAGGGTAATAATACTTATATCTTTCAGTTTGTTCATTAACATTTGTTAATCACCAGGCATAGGGTGACTGATATGGCTCCTGCACTTTCAGAGTTTACATATAGACAAATAATAACATCAATAGTTAACTAATCACATTTGTGCTAATGCTTAGAAGAAATACAGGGGAGGTGGGAAGATTAAAAGAAAGGCATGTAAAGTGCCTGGCACGAATAAATGAATGAACTGGCAGATCAAGCAGTGGAGTAGACAAGAACAAGCTAGGAACCTAGAGATCAGAGAAATTAATGAAGCTTATAGCTCTTGGGAAAGCTGTGTCCTCAATAAAAACTGAATTGTTAAGCCACCATCCAAGCTTTCTGGCACCTCCATGTGGCAGGGACCCTAAAGTAGTGTATGGTCTGAATGGGAAGGGGAGAAGACAACAGCTCCCTGGCTCTCCCTTCTCCCACTCTCCCTTTTTGGATAACAGAACTCCCAGGGGAACCTACAGTAGGCTAGAGGGAGAAGCAGCCTCAGGGTTGGAAGCCAGACCCAGTGAGGGGACAGTCCAAGCTGGGAGTCTCCTTTGGAACCAGTGTCAGCCCAGGGTAGGAGGCTGGGGTGAAGGTAGGGCTTCTGACACTCAATAAGAGGTGACATTTCCATTAATAAAAACCTTCTTATTGTGATCTAAGATACAAAGGAGACCAGCATCAAAACTGGGTTACAATAAGCACACTTTCTGAACTAAGTCATTCTCTCATTTACCTAGTTATTTACATTATATTTTGTATCAGCAAGGCCCTGGGCTAGGCACGTCATCAGAGATAGATGACATAGTCTGTGCCCCTGTGGAGTTCACAGTTCAGTCTGGGGAACAGACACATCAACAGAATGTGTCATCACAGAATGGGGAGTGCTCCCAAGGGAGGCACAGAGGGGGCACCTGACTCAACTGGGGAGGTCAGGGAAGGCTTTCTGGGAATGGTACCCCAAACGGCATCCCCACTCACATGCACAATTCCAGAGATTCTACTAGAAGGCTGTCAAGAGCCATGCGTTCTGGCTGCACCAGCCTCCCAGAGTCCCCTGCTGCCCGATGCAGTGTCTGCAGAGCCAAACGCATCTTCCGCCACGCCTCATCCTCATCCGGCGCTGCATCCGACCCTCCAAGACTCCTGCAGGAGCCTGCCTTCCTCGGCAGGCTCAGCCAAAAGACCAACTCAAAAACTCTTTTGTCAGAGCAAGCTTAGGGAGAGCCACCCAGCCCCGAATGCCACAACCCTCCCAGAGCAACTGCAGCCCATGCCACCCCCGCCTCTCAAATAACACTGGCAGGGTACCTCCCATCATCTCCTTTGCGCAAAAGAAAGTGACCTTCTTCCAGGTGGCAAGCTGGAAGCTTTGGAGAATACCGCTATGGCTCACTCTCAGCAGGATTCTCCAAACCAGGGAGGGATCTGAGGGCCGGGGTGGGCTGCCTTGTGGGCTAGGGGTACGAGGGGAGAAAGCGCAGGTTCCGCTGGGCTTCCTCCTCAGTGCAGAAGCCCCACCAAAAAGTCTACTGGGCAGCCTGGCTGTCTGCTCCAACTGCTCTGCTGGGCAGGGAGAGGAGGGAGGCCCCAGGAGACAGATGCTGGGGACACAGCTGCTGAGGGGGCAGTGGGGGCTGCAAGCAGAGCAGGGGAAGGAGAGGAGGCGCTCCCAGGAGAGAGGGAAGAGGCTGCAGCCGTCCAGGCCCCGGCACCCTGAGATGGCCCGGGGTGGCTGAGGGGGCAGGTGGGCCCGAAGGGAGGTGGAGGGCAGGGAGCCGAGCTGTGACCTCAGGATCAGAGCCGAGTGCCCGTGTGGGTGTGTGACCAGAACGCTCAGCCTCGGCTCCAGCCCAGAGGCGGTGGGGAGGGGAAGCGGCTTCAGCCAGGTCGGAGGAGGACCGGCCGAGCCTGGGCTTTGGAGAACGGGCTCAGCCTCCATTCTCACCCCGGGGGAGAAAGCCTCGGCCCCGGGCCTGGGGAGAAGGCTCCGGCCTCGGCCAGGGCAGGGCAGTTCAGGGTGGAGGTGAAAACGACCGAGCAGCCGAAGTCGCCTCGCTCGCTCCTACCTGCGGGCCCGGCGCCAGGTTGGGCTCGTCCTCCTCCCTGGGGCCGTCGCGGTCGGGCTCCGCCGGCACCTCCGGGGGCCCAGCACCCGCTCCCGCCTCCAAGCACGGCGGCGGCGGCGGCGGCTCGGGCGCCTGCGGCTTCTGCGGCCCCACAGCCCGAGCCCGCTCACGCCGGCCCGCGCCGCCGCTCGGCCTGCTCCGCCTCCGAGTCATGCTGCAGCTCGCTCCCTCACAGCACCCGCGCCGCAGCCGCCGCCGCCGCTCCCCTCACAGGACAACAGGCAACATGGCGGCGCCCGGCTCCCCCTCCGCCCACTGCCAGCAGGTCAGAGGGCACGCGGAGTCCGCGCCGCCGCACTAGCCCCCGACGCTGCCTGCGCCATTTTGAAAAAGGTCAGCACCCGGAGTTCCGTGGGCTGAAAGCCTAGTGGGGAGACGCCCTTCACCCCCACCCGGGGACTGGGAGGATGAGACCTGCGGGAGGAACGCGTGAAACGCCGTGGTAATCGCGCTGCACCGCCCTGGGCGCCTTAATTTCCACAGCGCTATGGTACTTTCCACATCCATCGGCTGAACTCCCCTTAACAGTATGGCGAGGTAGGTACAGGTCATTCCCATTTTGCAGCGGAGAAAACTGAGGCAACAAAAGGTGTACAGAGAGATTGCTGTATATATGATCCAGCCAGAATTCGCGGGCTTGCGGACAGCCCGAGCTGAAGGTGATGAAGACATCGTCTAGGTCTTTATTGGCAACTTATGGTCCGCGAGGAGTCCAGCGTTCTGCGCTTGGGACTGAGGACCAGGACCTGGCTCCTGGCTCCAGAGTGTGGCGGATTTGTGGATGTACAGTTACAACCAGTGCGATAACGGCGACATGGCCAGGCCACGGACTAGATCGGTGTTTCCAAAACCGTGGCATGTGCAGGAGAGGATTTTAAAAACCTTAATAATTATATATTTGTCAAAGATGAGATTTTCCTCCCTCCCTTTTTTTCGTGAATATACTGTATAAATACATGCCACATGGTACAGATTTTCTAAAAGTGTTCTGAGTGCAGTCTGCTTATGCATGGGCCATGGGTACTCCAAAACCATACGGTTTGGTTATATGGAGAATTGCTATTGATATCATCGACAGGGACAGAGTCTTAACATTGGCTTCCTGACGCAGGCACAGCAAGGGCTATTTTGAGAAGAAGAGCAAGATGGAAGGTCCTGGAGCTCTCCTTAACTAACAAGAACATAAATCAAAAATAGTACTTTATCCCATCACAGAGATTTGAAAGATACAGGGTGATTCCCATGACATCACTATTACCTTTTCAATTTTGCTAGAGAAGAGAGATGGCCTTAAAGAAGAGAGATGAGGCCGGGCGCTGTGGCTCACGCCTGTAATCCTAGCTCTTGGGAGGCCGAGGCGGGCGGATTGCTCAAGGTCAGGAGTTCAAAACCAGCCTGAGCAAGAGCGAGACCCCGTCTCTACTATAAATAGAAAGAAATTAATTGGCCAACTGATATATATATAAAAAATTAGCCGGGCATAGTGGCGCATGCCTGTAGTCCCAGCTACTCGGGAGGCTGAGGCAGAAGGATCACTGCAGCCCAGGAGTTTGAGGTTGCTGTGAGCTAGGCTGACGCCACGGCACCATAGCTCAGGCAACCTAGTGAGACTCTGTCTCAAAAAAAAAAAAAAAAGAAGAGAGATGGCCTATAGAAGAGAGATGGCCTTAAAGAATGTCAGAGCATTATGATAGACTTATCCTGGTAAGGACCCCAGGAACTCTTCCAGATGTGGTCCTCCTTGGAGCAGACTGGCACAGCGTTGACCTATAAAAGGCAACCAGCAGTCCAGTCAATTCTTACTCTCCTATACTAAACATCGAAAGTCATTTGTGTTCATCTGGCAGTGACGGCCGTAAACTTTCACTGTTTCAGGGGGATGTCACTGTCTGGACATGCTCAGTTTACAGGGATTTTTTTACTAAATCACCATTCTAATGGATGTCAGGCTAATCTACTATGGCACCAATGACATCATGCTGATGGACCTTGAAAACAGAAAGTAACAGCTACCCTAGATGACTTAGTAAGGCATCATGTGGATAAGAGGATGGATAATAAATCCCACAAATATACAGGGGCTTGTCTAGTCAATGAGCTACCTAGGAGTCTGGGGTATGTTGAGATACTCTCTACAAAATGAAGTACATCACACTCCTGCTAAGAAAGAGGTGCAGGACTTGCTGGGCTTCTTTAGACTTGAGGTAACAGAAATGTATTTAGGTACATTATTTTGACCAGTTTTACTAGATTACTTGAAAGCTGCCAACTTTAGGGGAGGATCATAACAAGCAGAGAGGTTTTTGTTGGTTTTTTTTTTTTTTTTTTTTGAGACAGTCTCACTGTTTTGCCCAGGCTAGAGTGAGTGCCATGGCGTCAGCCTAGCTCACAGCAACCTCAAACTCCTGGGCTCAAGCCATTGTCCTGCCTCCACCTCCTAAGCTGGGACTACAAGCACGTGCCACTGTACCCAGCTAATTTTTTTTTCTATTTTTAGTTGTTTGGCTAATTTCTTTCTATTTACAGTAGAGACGGAGGTCTTGCTCTTACTCAGGCTGGTCTCGAACTCCTGAGCTCCAGCAATCCTCCCACCTCGGCCTCCCAAAGTGCTAGGATTACAGGCGTGAGCCACCAGCCCAGAGAGGTTTTCTTACCACTCTACAAAGTAAGTAGTTCCAGCTTTGGCCTTAGTACTCAAGCATTGGATTTTGGAGCAAAGTTATATGCCCTCCTTTAGCAAATAGTTATTCGCCTTTTGAGAAATAGCTCCTGGCTTGCTCCAAGGGTCTGGTGAGATTGGATACCTGATCATGGCATGCCAGGTGACTGGGTAACCTAAGCTTAGTGTTATCTGATCTACCCAGCCATAAAATCAGAGGTGGCTAGCAGCACTCCATCATCAAGAGGAAGTGACATATGTGGGCTGGGTCCAAGCAAGTCCTAAAGCCCAAGTAGGTTGCCTGAGCAAGTTGCTTATATTCCCCGCCTGCCCTCTGCCTCAACCTGTAGTAATGGTCTCGTGGACAGTTGTTCGTGATGAGTTGACTGAGGAAGAAAAACCTAAAACCAAGTGGTATGGTGGCTTCAGCCAGAAGTGGATTGCTAGTGTGTTCCAGTCTTCCTCAGAGAGGGGCCCAAGGGTGTAGAAAAACGAAGTCAGTACAGAGACCCTGAAATAGAGGCACACTGATTCCTGGGCATTGGATAATGGTTTCAGCCATTGGTCAGAGAGTTGGAAGGAAGGAAACTGAAGGCTTAGCAAAAGGAAGTTTTGAGGAAGACGAATGTGGATAGACTATCCAGAATGGCTTCAGAGCAGAAGGTTATTTTGTCCCAAAACATTCATCAAAAACTCTTAAAAACCCGACGGGCAGTAGGGCCCTGTCTGTGGCTACCATACTGTCTTCTTCCCTACATTTCAGGCCTTGCTCCACAGCTTCATGAGAAAACTGGCCCAGCAATATGGGCTGTCCCTTCCCCAAGACTGACCCACCTACTGAGCCCAATTTACAAGCCTTAGGGAACTAGCCTAAGCCCTTGTGTGCAGCTTACTTTGAGGGGCCCTGCAAACTCTCTTCTAGCGGGGTGATTACATTGGACTATGTATTAGTTAGGGTTGGTTAGCTACTGTAACAAACTACAGGTGGCAAGGGTTGAACACCTTAGACATAATTCATGTCAGAGGCCAATACCAGTTGAAGGAACTTTGCAAACACTCAAGAGATCCAGTCTCCTACCTGTGGCTCTGCCCTTACCTAGGCTCACAAAGTCCTCTTCATTCAACTAGAGGATGGGAAAGGAGATAGAGTGAGGGTTGCTTTGGACAATTTTATGAGCTGTACCCAGAAATGACTACACATTATTTTCATTCACACACCACTGGGGAGAATTCTGCCACATGGTTTCCTTGACTATAATCCTTCCCTCCCACCTCTTCCCCACTCCCCAGACAATCATTGATCTGCTTTCTTTTGCATTTTCGTACAGTATATACTCACTTTTACCTGGCTTCTCTTCCTCTGCATAATTATTCATCCATGTTATGCAGCGGTAGCTTTCCTTTTTATTGCTGAGAAGTATTCCATTGTATAGAAGTAGCACAGTTTGCTTTCTGTTCTATGTTGATGAGTAGTCATGACAAACATTTCTCATGCCTTAGCTTATTATGTGGCTCTGAAAACTGGAAGAAAATTACAATTAAAGCAAGTGTACAATGTACAGTATTATGAAATTGCGTCTTTTGCAAGTGTTTAAACTTACTTTTTTCACACATTAACTTAATGTGTGAGGTAGGTTTGGCTTCATGGATGCATAATAGTGCTGCCCTACAAGGCCCCAAACCCAGAAGAGCTCTGTGCTTGGCTTAATGCCATGCTGTTGCCTTCTTGAAAATTCTTAATGTTTGAACAAGGGGTCCATCTTTTCATTGTGCACTGAATGCTACAATTTATGTAGCTTGTCTTGTGTGAGAAGGTGTGTAGTTTTTTAAACTGATTTTGGGGAATGCAAGCAAACATTTGAAGGCCACTGGCCTAAATCCCTCAGGTCTGTAAGTGCTTGGGCTTTTGGAACCCCAAATCCAGGATGGTTTTCAAGTTCTCCTACTTCCTACCCGGTGATTTACCCTCCACTCCCGCCTCAAGGCAACAGGCACAGAGCTAATTGCTTGAGTGCCGAAGAGGGAAGGGGAAATTGTAACAGCAATGCAAACTAGATCACCATCTCTGCATGGTTTCCCATCCGGTGATGCTCAGGACCCAAGGACTGGCAAGGCTCCTAGACCACCAGCTTCCTTACCCCAGACAGAAAAGCCACTCTGGCCCCTGGCTCTCCACCTGGGACCTGGCTAGCTGTAATTCCACCCATACTAGATTGTTCTGGTCTGTATGAAAAGATGCCTCACATAGGTATGTGCTTCAG